CTGGCCCTGAAGGGTGGGAAGAAGGCTAAAAGCCTCCCCTCTCCCCCGGATTTAGGGGCTGCCCTCGGCTGATGAGGGCCTTCCCAACAATGCAGTGGTCTTGCTCGCATCTTTCTGGCACACCATGTGCTCACCCGAACACCATGGCTCACCATTTCCCACACGAGGCGACTCTGACATGGCCCAGCAGTGGTAAGACAGAAAAACTGAGACAGGGATCAAAAACTCTCACCGAGACAGGGATCAAAAATTAGGCCAAATTTTTAAGATGGGGAGTAAAGGGATATTTTCTAAAGTACAGTTGTCTGGGAAAAAAAACCCAACCAACAAACCCCCAGCCCTAGTGTCTCCAATTGCTTCTTGTTCCTTAAAAATAACCCCCAAAATGTTACGGGTTCTCTGCTTCAAAATGCATCCAAATTTTCTCTTGGCCCTTTCCAGGGAACTCCGGATTCCCTCTTTGCCAGCTCCTCAGACTCCATCATTTCAGACCTAAAAGGAAGGACCCTGCCTTGCCCCTGCTTCTCTGCAAACACGGGATAGCCTCGTGTTAGGGTGGTGGGGGCGGGTTGCTATGACGACGCTGCCTCTCAGCAGTGCAGGCGTGCAGCTCCCACCCCTTTGGCTGGGCGATGCTCTCGGGGTGACGGCCCAGGCAACGGGCGTTCGTTGCCTTTTCCCTGCGCAGACAGCCCTCGTGCTGGCTCAGTGCACCTCCAGGAGGTCTTAAATCGTCACATCTCTTCTACTGATGTGACAGTGCTTTTTGGGGCCACTCCTGAGCCAAAAGCAGCACCGGCAGTGCTGAAATACGGGCTGACTTTTGGAGCTGAGGTGACAGAAGACAAGCCCCTGCACCGGAGTTGCGGGTGTGGCCAAGCACGGGGCAACCACCTTGCTGTTCCTTCGGGCTCCCGCAGATGGGGAAATCTCAGTTACATTGATTTGGTGGATATATTTTACCCGTTCGTTTGCCTTACTAACATGCTATGATTGCTTAACACGTAATTACACTGCAGGCGGGCGGACGATGCCGCAGAGGGAGGAGAGGCAGCCGGGATCATTGGGTGTATCCCCAGCTCCGTCCCCACCACGGCACACACAGGATGAAGACCCCACGGAAACACGTTTGCCCTTTTGAAGGGCTGCATCACCCACACTTAAGACTAAGGAGCTGCTTTATTATTATTATTATTTTAAAGCCCCCTTTTTATCATGTCAAAGGCACAATGAACTACTTCTTCTTTCCCCTAAAACCCATCCAAATTTAGAGGAGTCTTTCATTCCGATGGACCAGCAAGGGAAGTATGTGAGGAATTTTTACTGACTGACTTAAGGTCACTGACCAAGAAAGGGTGTCTCCTGCTTTGATTTAAGATATTATTTTGATCCACGAGGCCTGGAAGGGAAGGTCAAGCTGTATTTTATAGATAACCTTATCCTCATAAGGGCTCCCTTTCTTACCTTCCTCAAGCCTCCTTATTCCAACAAATATAATTATTACTTTGTAAAAAAAACCTGATCATTTATGGATATGCAACCAACAAACAACACGTATCAAATTCCTGCAGGGAAGGAGCCGGGAGGTGTTATCCACGGTCAGGAAGCTGGACCATCCCTCTGACCGCTGCGTGCAATGAATCAATAACGTTTCCTCTCCTCGGGAAGGAACCAGCTACTGCCTGACCGGTGTCAGACCGAAATCTGTTCTTGAGGCAGGACTGGCGGCTCCAAACTACTGTGCCCAACACGTCTGTCACAGAAAGTCACCAACGCTGATTATTTTCAGGCAAAGTATTTATGCACCTCAGTTCTTTGAGAATGAATTTCCTACCAGCCGAACAAGAGAAGCTGGTCATAGTACTTTTTTAAGGTGCCACGTCCCTGTAGGGTCAGATGCAACTTGCTGCCCCCCAGCAGCATCCCACTTGTCCCGTTTTACCCTCTCCACCCTCTCGGCCGGTCACCAGCGTGACTCACCGACCTGCTATTCCTTCCCCGACACTCCCAGGGTAAACCAGCTGGGAATCTTTCTCGCTGACAACAGTGATACTATTGCACAAAAGGGCTTCGCTAAGGAGCAGCGATGGTTGCCCAAGCACATTCCTCACAATTAAAGTTTCAAAACAGAGACCTGCCATTCAGATGCCGCGGCACCGACCTCACCCGGCTCCTCAGCCCACGCGCACCGCTGCTTCCCTGACAGTATAAATCATTCCCCTGCAGACTCAAATAGCAATAGCCTGAGGGTTTCCTCACCGCTGCCTTGGATGTACAGCCTGAAACTCAGCGGCATGACGCTCATACGCCTGCAGCAGCCCGGCCAAGGCAGGGCATACCTCGCGTGAAGAGTGGGAGGTGGGAATGGCCGTGGGTAAGCAGAGCTGGAGGCACGGAGCGGCGCGGGGCATCCTTACCAGGACTGTGTGCATCCCCGTGTAGAGCCTGCTGAGGCACACCAGTGTGGAAAACACTAACGCTGCTGCCAGGCCTAGCTCGTACGGGTACTGTGAAAAGGAGAAAAAAAAAAAATCCACACGTTATATCTTTATCCACTTCAGCATCAGTGTATGTCCGAAACAGAACACCCAAGCAACCGGACTGCCGTAAGGATCTCGCGTTGGGAAGCGGCTCCTGGGCTGTGCTTGCCCAAAGGGACGCGACCTCACATCAGCCAATGTGCAAGCCTGACGGAAGGCCGTTCTGTTATGCGTGGTGCCCACTTTTGCGAAGGTCTAGGCTCGGGATGGGGAAACCTGGGAAACAAACGGTGTTTGTAGAGTTTTTCCCCACAACATCCACCTACGAAATCCCTGTAAGTGCTAAAGGCCTGAAGGAGAAAAGGCACAGCGTGCTGTGCGCGCGATGCCCGAGGCCGAACTGCAGCCTCGGATCACCCGAGGGGAACGCGATAGCCACGGAGCCTGACCAGGAGCGGGATCAATAGTCCTCGAGCAGCGGGCTGGGAAGGGAAAATCGATGTCTGGGCTGAAACCGCAG